GAAGATACCGAGTGGTACCTAGCATGTATCTAGCGGTACCGAGCATGTACCTAGCAGTATCGAGCATGTACCTAGCGGTACTGAGCAGTACCGAGCATGTATCTAGCAGTACCGAGCAAATACTGAGCGGTACCGAGCATGTACTGAGCGGTACCGAGCATGTACTGAGCGGTACCGAGCATGTACATAGCGGTACCGAGCATGTACCTAGCGGTACCGAGAACTATGACCCTAGCTTTCCTATAAGTTGAAAAATCAAACCCTAAACTTAATAAGAACCTTAAGAACACTTGAAGAAGTGATGTGGAGGGGAGGCCGGAAACAATTGACTCACCGGCGAGAGGCGGCGCCGGTGAGAGAGGCGGCGGAAATGTGCGGGAGAGCCGAATCGGGCGTCTGCGTGCTTCCTGTGCGGCTTCAGTTACCGTCTTTGGTCGGGTAAGTGGGTCTTCAGAAGGGTAAGTGGGTATAAGGAAGAATTTAAGAGGTTTTTTAAGTAAGTGGGCCCTCATATTTGAGGCGTACGCCTCAAAGGAAATTGCGCAATAACGCTAGTGAGGCGCGCCTCACTCCACCTAAGGCGTACGCCTCATGATGCTTGAGAATTGCGTAGGCTTTGAGGCTATTTTGAAGCAAATTACGCAAAGGCGCGCCTCAGATTGCGCAATTTTAAACTATGATGCTAACCTTGCTCCTCTGTGCTGCTCTATCCCTTGAACATTCCTATGCTCTTTTGCCTCTCTGTATATATTTGGGACAATTTCTCCATAGAGGTAACATCGTTCCCAAGTTCCTCAAGCATTTTCCTATATGAGGTTTCCCAAATGTAGTATAAGTTGTTAACGTGTGTGACCCTACGGTCTTGTGGTTGTTGTTGTTGCTACCCTTGAATAATATTTTGCTTCTTAAATTGAACTCCTTTGCGTTTAAGTTCCTCTTCCTACTGCTTGCCTCCCATCTCTGTCTCACCACTTTCAAATCTCTCTCCAGCAATCGGGCACTCTCCACCATTAAAAAAAAACTTTGATAAGTAAAGGAATAAGTGGTTGTCGTAGTTGATCCATCCTTTGAAAATTTGTAGCGATTCTCTATAGGAGTACTAATAAGCTGAGGAGCATATCTTGATAAATATGTAAATGCTACCTCATGTTGAGTATAGTCTTGGATTCTTGAATCAAATTCACAAAGCTCTCTTGCAGCGCTTGTTTTGCTGACGGAGGAACATACCGGTCTCTAAACACTTGTTTAAATTTCTTCCAAGTGATTAATTCCTAGGTCTACTATCAAATTTCTCCAAATGCTGAACTATCCACCACCGCTCAGTTTCACTTTCCAATAAAAAAATAGCTAAAGATACCCATCTTTCACGGGAACATTTCATACCATTTAAGATCTTCTCAATCCTGATAAGCTAATCCTCAACAACTCTGGCATCCACTCTTCCCTTAAATAGAGGTAGGTTCAGACTTTGAAATAGTTTTAGATTCTCATTTATCTCCACATGCAAAGGAATACTGGTATTGCTGCAAGGAATTGTAGGTTCCACAGACTTAACTATTGGGGGTGGTGCAGCTGTTGCAGTGGGTACAATTGAGCCGACTAATCATTGCATTTCTTTTCATCATTTGCATCATCATTCGCATTTACATCATTGTCCTTAACATCAATGCTGTAGAATCGGGCACAACAGGCACATTCTCCACCCTAAGTGCACTATCCTTAGCTGATGTAAGATCCTTAGGACCATTAGGTATTCGATAAGGCTGTGCCAATTGGCCATTTGTTCCCTCAGGAACTCTCTTAGCCATAACTCGTGGTACAAAATGAAGATCATCATAATTTAGTGCTAAATCATATCTCAAACATGCAATCAAACATTAAAAAAAAATCATTTACAGGTAGAAGTTGCTGCGAGGGTTTTAGTTAGCGCCCACATTTTACTTAGGACAGTGACCTCACCTTGTAATCAGATCCCATCTTAGACAAATTAGACCCACCTATTCTCCGTAGGAATTGAATCATATTAAGTAATTTCACCCTAAATATTGGATCCTATCACGATTCCGCACTAATTTGCTCGACCTTTAATTCTTGCTCTGATACCACTTTCTGTTGCGCCCTATGCTGACCTAATTCCTACTAATTGATGCAAGATGCAACAAGGTGATTCCAACAATCTTTTACACTATATTCTACTACTTTTCATAACAATTCATATCCTTCAAAGCATTATATTATAAAATGCATCATAGATTAATACATCAATTGCAAGTGAAAGCGGTCCAAAATTTTATTTTAAAAATTTTTCCTGTACAAAGCAGCTACAAACAAAAATCAAATTTGTAACTATTAATGGACTACTGACCTCCACTTTTACTCTTATAATGATAAAAGTAAACATAAAATAAGAATTGAACCTGGACCTATTCTGGTTTCACTTTTTCTTACCCTTTTCTTGTAAAAATAACTAGAATAATAATCTAGTGAGCTATGATGTCCATAAAAATCTACAACTCTAATATAATAATCAAATGTAAGGAGGGACTAATAATATGAAAATCAACGAGTAACTCGATATGTGCATAAAAAACCTGTGCAAACTGCTTGAGGCTATAATAACTGTCATAAGTAATATGCAAGGCATGCAATATATAAAATGCTCACGTGAGTTACCCATTGAATTGTATGTTTTATAGTGTTGATACCATCACTATAAGCCAAATTCATTTTTATAGGATATGTAAATCATACAATCATAGTTGTGATTTATGTTCGTTTCATAACTTTTCTTTTTTTAAACTTCAGGATGTGTCATGTTAGGATTTCTAGGTCTAGGTTTATAGCTCGTAAACTCTTGAGGTTAAAATTCCTCTATAGCACATAAGCCTCATATCATAGCTTATAAGCTTTCCCATGTATAAGTCAACACCGTCTCCATTGGGTTGCATTGCCTCCACTCACCTATCACCTAACATGAAATTTTCTCAGGGTTATATCTTCGTTTGCTTTTGCCTATATATGTTATGTGTCCATCGACTATGTATAAATATAAATATTCTAGTGAATCAGTATGGTTGTACGATATATCAATGTATAAGCGAATCTAACTGGATAGTTCACATGTCTTAAATTAATGAAATTGCATGTAGTAGTATATAAAACCTACTCACATCTCCCAAATAATGATATGTGAAATGACTATGTATTACACTTCTGACTAGTTACACTGCTACTAAAATACATTGATGCATACATAAAAAAAGTCAATTTGCCTATTAAATTTAACATAATTGCATACCTTACATCTTCGGTGCTCTAACTCGCCAAATTGGATGCCTCACATTCTCTTGTGCATATAAGGTAACTATATCAACCTTAAATTACCTGAATTAAGAATCCATACCATTTGCTACCCAAATCATACAACCATTTGATTCATAATAATCATATCTTCCAATTCTCCCGTCACATGGCTATAAGCACCAATTCCCTTTTTTTTTTACGAGTGTCCTAATCAATAATAGAACATTACCAAATCAAAAAGATTAAAAATACAATTCATACAATTTTTTTACATGCACCAATTAACTTTCTTACCTCTTTTCCCTTTCTCTTCTCTTCCTTCTCTGATTTCCTCTATCGACCTCTCTGAATTCTTCTCCCCTCTTTTCCCTGCTTCCTAAATTCACCCGTACAAAATAGCCAAATCACTTTCTTCTCTCTCTACTCTAACCGGCCAACCCAACACTAGCACATAACTGAGTCCCCCACCCGAGCACCTTACCTCCGGCCAACCTCCATGACCAATTGCAGCTTTAGCTATCATCTCTCGATCAAATAAGCTAGGTATGCAATTATGTTAAATTCATGACCAACTGCACCTTACCTCCTCGGTCTGCTTGTTGAGATCGGCCAGTCCCTAGCTTCTTATGATGGTTAGTCTTGCAACATCTCTTGTACCGAGGTACTTTCTAGATGGACCTTCATCAGCATGCTAGTTTGAGCCTCTACAGGCAATCTCTTGAACATTAAATTCATCTTTGATTCTGATATGGCTACCACCTACCCTACTTTTGCCTCTATCGTGTTGGACTTGTTCATGATTACTTCCCATCCATGAACTAGCATATAAACACGTCTTTGAGGATAGTCTTCCATAACCTGTTGAAGGTATCTGCCGTTGTTGCCCATGACTCTGTTCTTGTTGTTTCATTTCTAGGTTCCGAGACTGCATCATTGGTGCCTCTACCATTGTGGAAATCAATGCCTTCATGAACTTTGTAATTGTCGCTCCCATCTCTGGGACGACCATCGATGTCCCTGTTGAATCATAGTAGGCAGTACCATCATTTTGAAAAACTATAGGCTTTGGCCTTCTTAGTCCTCTTTATCAAAAGGAGTTTATTGTTGCCCTTACTCTTGGACTCCGTAGCCTTAGGAGTTAATTGCATGCAGCCTAGGGATTTGTTGGTCGGATGACTTGAAAACTTGAATTGGAAATAAAAAATGATGCACGTGCTCTTCATTTTGTAAGTTTATTACATTTAATCCCGATCATGATGACAGGGCTAGGCTATGTTCGCCATATTACTGGGTTCTCTCAGATATAATCAAGTAAGCACCACGCTATTTAAGTTACATTGTTATTTCTTGAGAATGGAATTTGATGCTATAAAGCAAGAGAATAAATTTGTCCCAATTTTTAAAATATCTGGGAAGTTTTCTCGCACTTCTTGGTATCCTCTTATTTGGGTTTTCCAACACATTTGTATTATATTGAAGAGACTTACTGAAAGTAAGCACCACGCTATTTAAGTTACATTGTTATTTCTTTCGCGTTGTGTATCCAAGCTTCAGTTTGCTGCTTTAATCTTCTGCTTATGTCTGTCAATTAAAAAAATTGCTTAGTGCTTTAGATCTTCCCATTCCATTTAACTACTGCTGCAGATTTTTACATAACCTTCTCTGCCTTTTGCTCATTCTAAAATTGTCTGAAACAGGCAAATACTTATGAGGAGCTCCCCGAACGGCTCATTGGAGCTGCTCGTGTTTCGTGGCTAGAACATTCTTCTGCTATAGTTCCACAACTTGAGCCCAACACCTCAACTGAATAAGAGACATTAAAATTGTGATATTGCATCTCAAATTCCTTCAATCTTTTCTGGCTCGTTAAAATGCTTCATAAAATTGGTCTAAAGCATGATATGCATTATTCAACTCCAATGTTGCAGCATGGCTGGTCCTTGTCTGGCTCTTCTAAAGCAGAGTATCCATAGTGTATATATAACGTAGACAGGTAACATGTCCAGATAAGCTGTTACTGATAATAAGTAGTGTTTTAGAGCTTTGAATAATTTATTATATCTGCTGCACTGCAAAGATGGGAACTTTGGGCTTTTATTTTTTATATTTTTGCTTGTTCAAGTTTTGGAATCTGTTTGACAAACTAGCGACTTTGATGTAAAATGTAGCGAATTTTATTGATTGTACAAAATGATTGAAGGCCAATGTTGTTGACGAGGGAACAAAAAGGAGCAATTATAAATTATGTGAAATTATACAGTACAAAATTTGCATTCTTTTTTAATTAGGTTGCAGATCCTTCTAACAATATGTGAATTTGAAATGGGCTTTTATTTTCGACCACTAGAAATATAACTGTAGAAGTTTTATTTTTTTCTGAGAATGAAATGATTTGTTTAGCTTGCCTGCAGTCATATAAATGTACTCGTTTTATATATATTGTGTCTATTGTTCAGAGTGATAGTAAAATAGATGGAGATATTATTGATAGAATAAGTTAGATGGTTGAAGTAGATAAATGCTTTTCGACACTCCTCTCTCTCTCTCTCTCTCTTTCTCTCTCTCTCCATCTATCTTATCCCCTTTGTTCCGGTCATGAATCGAAAAAAAAGGTGCCCTTTTAACTCAGTGGTAGAGTAACGCCATGGTAAGGCGTAAGTCATCGGTTCAAATCCGATAAGGGGCTTTTTCCACTAAACTAAAATCCGAGTATTCATTTTTAAGCGGGGAATAGAAATCTTTTTGATATTTCTAAAAAAATGAGAACGACCACCATTATTATTAGAATGAGTTCTGATTAGGAGTCTTCCATCGCCGCAGGGGCAGAGAAATCGCCACTGTCTCGGCTGTGCTATCAGAGGCTCTGGGGAAGTCGGAATATGAGAGCACTCATCTTGCGGTGGGCTTTCTACTTAGATGCTTTCAGCAGTTATCCGCTCCGCACTTGGCTACCCAGCGTTTACCGTAGGCACGATAACTGGTACACCAGAGGTGCGTCCTTCCCGGTCCTCTCGTACTAGGGAAAGGTCCTCTCAATGCTCTAACGCCCGCACCGGATATGGACCGAACTGTCTCACGACGTTCTGAACCCAGCTCACGTACCGTTTTAATGGGCGAACAACCCAACCCTTGGAACATATTACATCAGAGAAACTTTCTTGACCAATAGGGTAGATCAAGAAAACAGCTGTAGCAGCCGCAATAGGAGTTGAATATGCAACAACAATCCAAGTGCGCATACCCAGACAGAAACTAAGTTCCCACTCATGACAAATGTAACAAGCTACACCAAGTAAGAAGTGTAGAACAATTTTTCCAGTGAATGGTTCAAATAATTTTATCCATATGAGTGTTCTACATCGAATAAATTCCCAATTATTCCTTTTTTATTTTTCTCATTTTTAAACCTTTTTGGTACTAACCTAGCGGTAGAAAGAGTACCATGCTATGCTGTGCCTGGACTTCAAACAATTGATCTTTAACCATGTAAAAGACCTCAACATTATTGGTTGATAGAGAAGAGAATCAAAGTTCATTTACCAATTAATCACGAAATGCTATGGTTCTTACATATGATTTCTGAATGAAATCCAATTCAGAAGTAATTCATCGAGATATAATAATGTGACAAAAGAATCGGATACCCTGACTCCAATTAGGGATTTTTTGGGTCCTTTAGGTAAATTTTTGTTCATCTTATTATTTAAGAACTTATAATCAAGTATGTTTAAAGAAATATTTTTTACTTGAAAAATTTCAACAGACTTTCCAAGTGCTTCAAGTACTTCCATTTCAATACTGATTCCTAGATGAAAATAGTAGTGTTTATTATTCCGATCCATGCAGTAACATCATTTGGAATTCATTCCATTTGAATTGGTGTTTTCTCCATCACAATTCTTGTGAAGAGGCATGGACAATAATTAGCCGTCGACAATTCCTTTATGAAAATTTGTAATAGAGCCCGACCACATTCTCCATAGGGCCCTCTTATATCTTCCTTCTCCGAGCTTAGGTTATGGGATAAGGAATTGAGGAGGTATCAAGTATCAACAACAACTGGTTTTATTGCGGGACAGCTCATGATGTTCATATCGATCTATTATGCGCCTCTGCATCTAGCATTGGGTAGACCTCATACAATAACTGTCCTAGTTCTACCGTATCTTTTGTTTCATTTCTTCTGGAACAATCATAAAAACTTTTTTGATTATGGATCTACTACCAGAAATTCAATGCGTAATCTCAGCATTCAATGTGTATTACTGAATAATCTAATCTTTCAATTTTTAAACAATTTCATTTTACCAAGTTCCACGTTAGCCAGACTAGTCAACATTTATATGTTTTGATACAACCCTAAAATTTATTTTCCCGATCTAAATCGACCAGTTTTTTCATGAAGATTTTTTTTTTTTCAGCGTGCTCTATTCGAGAATGGTAGGAGAAGAACCGACTCGGTATTGTAAAAAAAAAAAAGAGTGGAAGCAAAACTAAGTCAAGATGATATGAATCACCCCTTCTTCTTGCCCTAAGGATCTTATTACCATTTCCGAATGAACTGGAGCTACTTTTCTTTTTCATTTCCATTCCAGAGTTCTTATGTGTTTCCACGCCCTTTTCTTAGGAACACAATAAAAAAGGAGGAATGTAGGTAGTGGTTATGACCGATTTGATAGAAAAGAAGGGATAATGTCTCTTTTCATTGGGGATTTCCTGGAGTAAATCGTCGTATCTTCCTTTGTTTCTTTCTAAAAGATATCCTATCAATCATAATGGAGGTGAGAGAGGGTCTTTTTCCTTGTCGTGTCCTTTATATGGAAATTAGGGGCCAAAGAGCCATTCCCTTGACCCGTACTGATGAGAATTTGACTCCATGAGATCCAAAGACTCAATTCTTACACAAAAAACAAAAATAGGAAAAGAATCATAGGTTCGATACCTTGTTCTTGTTAGAGTTATATGCTTTTGTTATATAAATCGTGCTTCATAGAAATCTCAGATAGAATCGACGAATGAAATAGGTTTATTAACAAATTACATCACGGATACAAAATGAAAAAAAAAAAGCATTGGCTTCCCTCCCATATCTTGTGTCTATCTATTTTTGCCCTGGTGGGTTTCTCTCTCATTTAAGAAATGTCTGTAAACTTAGGTTCTTGATTGGTGGAATACCAGGACATCCGAGATCATGAATGTTTGGAATCCATATTATGCAAGGAGACATTACTTTTGCTAATTCAAATTGAAGGGTGATATCAAATCGGTCTATTTTCTATGTCATATACATAGTTACTTCATTCGTCATAGTTAGCAGCTCCGTATCAATATCAAGGTCATCATCACTATCATTAATATCATCACTATCTTTAATATCAATATCATCAATATCGATATCATTAATAAGATAACCTTTAGGCTTGTCATCCAGGAATTTGTTCGAAAATATCGTAATGAAAGAAACATAGGAGTTTGTCGCTAGGTATTTGATCGAATAGGATCGTCCAGTTCCTATAGAACATATCACTAAAATACCTCTAGAAGGGGATAGGGCTAAGCAGAGCGAAAAGGGTTTTCCATGAGGAGATGGGGAATGAAAACTATTAGCCCCACACGAAGTTTGTGAATAAGTGATTGTCTGATAATGAGTAAGGAATATCCATCTTTCTACTAAATAGGATCTATTGAACTCATATTTCATTAGATCCTTTTGATGAATGTCAACTAAGTATCGTAAGGAAATTGATCCTGGTTGTTAAATCATTTGATAACCAGAAAAAAAAAATCGGTCCGAATTTATTGCGGGAATGAGTTGGAAGATCCCAAACTAAAAACAATGTTATTTGCTAGCAATAACATAATGGAGGCAGTCAATCAATATAGATTGATCCGAAATCTGACTCAAATCCAATACAGCACTATGGGTACATAAGAAATGTATCAAATTGATTCTTTTTAATGAATAGATTCGGATTGAAGAAGTAATTTCACTCGATTATTATCAAACTGACTGCAATATTTTTCTGTCCGTGAGGATCCCGCCAGAGCGCCTTCTACTTCTAATAGTAATAATAGTAATAGGCCATGAACTAGATCAGAATCATTCTCAACGAATCCATAAGAAGTGATCCAATCTTTTTCATTATCTCTGGATGAAGACCAAAGATCTTGAGCGACCGATCTTATAGAACAAATCAAAAGATAAAGAAGTTTCCATCTTTTTGGCCTTAGCTCCATGGAATAATATGCTACTACTGAAACATGAAAGAATTGAAATTGTTGAGTCTAATACTTAGGTTGTTAAGCCTAAGTGAATGTCCCAAGGCTACCAAGAGGGGGGTTGAATTGGTAGTTTAAAAAACTAAGTTAAAATTAAGACCCCTTTTTTTGCAAGCTTCAAAAATTTTAAGGTATCTCATGCTGATTTTAATTTGAAGTCTTCGTATTCTGGAGTTCTTTTTCCCTGAAATGTTAGTACACACAAGAGCAAATACAATTCTTCCAAAAAATGTTAGGAGATAACTACACATTTGAACAATATTGTTTGGAATCATCAAAACTTCATAAGTTGCAAAAATGTAATGCATGCAAATAGCAACTATCTTAACAGAAATCTTAGATCACTATGTGTGGATGGTATGAATTGCCTAAACAGGAATTCTAGAATGGCGAAAGAGCCTATTATGCGTTACATCAATCAATTTCTACTAATGAAACCATGCAAATCCATTGAAAAATACAATAAAACTAGAAGTGATGTGGATCATTCAAGAATCGAAGTCGATTTGCTTTATAAAAAGAAGATATCAATGAACTTCTATGAAATGGTTTAATGGGATTCATCCAATTGTCTCGATCGTAGGATATCATTGATAAATATGAATCTGTGTTATCAAAGGATTTCCTGCGATTCTTTCTAATATGGAATGAGTCAAGCACCCGCTTTGGTATCTTTTTGAACACAAATGATAATATTGTTCATCCATTGATAAAAAATCCATGATTGTTTTTGTCTCTAGCATAACCAGTTGTTGAAAAGGGGGGAGGGGGGGTAGGGGGGGGAGGAATGGCCGATACTACATGAAGGATTCCTCTTTGGTTGATAGGTATTGTAACTGGTATTCCTGTGATTGGTTTAATAGGCATTTACTTTTACGGCTCCTATTTCGGGTTGGGTTCATCTCTGTAATACTTTAATAATCATATTGTCTCTCTAAAACTTTATAAAACATATATACCACACACACACACACACACACACACACAC